TGGACCACGGCCAAAAACTAGCCGGAATGAAGCCGAAACCGTCAGCATAAATAGGGGTTAGAAATCGATCTCCAAAATCTCAACTCAAACCCAGAACATATAGGTAGAGCACGAAGAGTAGATAAAGTTTCATACTTGGTTCGACGAATTGGCCGTCGGAATCGCCGGAAATTGCACGAACACCGCCGGCGACGAAACACGGCTTTGGCTCTATTTCAATGCAAAATCGCAACCATTCTTGGAGTTTCGAAGGTGGAAATGGCTATGGATGCGTAAAGGAGGAAGAGAATCATCAAATTTGGTCGCTGGATGGAGGAGAAAACGCTGGCCAAAGTGGCTGGTCTGTTTTTGCAAAGGAAAGACAGCACACACACGAGGAAAGAGAGAGAGAGAGAGAGAGAGAGGCTCATCTATTTTTAAAATCCAACTTCAAAAAAATTTCGGTTGTGCCACTACACTTCCGTTAACCATAACTTCTTCGTTAAAACTCCGATTTGGGCCCACTACGTATCTACGAACTGCAACAGTGCTAGTCATTTTCCTAAAATCCTTCTAGATTAAAAAGTGACCAAAGTATCCCTACTCCCAAGGGCAAAGTTGTAATTTCAAAAAAGAATTAAATTGGATTTTATTGATTAATTGGGTCAGGGATGTTACACTTGAGCTGGCTTATTCTCGCTTTGTTTAAACGCAGTCAAATCACTAATAATAACTTCAGGTTGGATTCTGTAGTAATAATCATGAAAAACATTCTCCATTTGTTCCCAAGTATGGATGGAATTGGCTGGCAAATTGATATACCAAGTGAAGGCTTGGCCGGATCAAGAATTCCCAAAAAGCCTAAGCTTCAATAAATGGTTGTTTTCTATAGCAATGTACTCGACATAAAACCTCCCTATATATTCAACTGATGAAACATAGCTATCCTCTTCATTGAACAAAGTAAAGTTTGAGACCTTAAAACTAGGCGGCAAAGGTGTCTAATCTAGGTAGGCTAGATAAGGTTTCCTGTAAATAGGCCTCTCCCCTCTCCTTACTTCAGGTCTACCATTTCTCTTATCATTCTTTGCAATGCCCCCATGTCATTGAGAGCATTGATAGGAGGTGGATTCTGAATTTGTTGTGGTTGAAAATGATCAATCCTTGCCGGATCAATTCTAAGAGATCTTGGGATAATTTCCTCCCTCTAATTTGGTTCCTCTTCAAAATCATTATTATTTCTCCAATCTCCTTTTCTAATCATGTTCTTGTCATAAAAATTATTAGCACCTCATCTGCCTTTTCTGCCTCATGCTAAAGGAGTTAATGGATTGGGATCTACCCTTCGGAGTTTATATGGGATCACTGGAGCTGGCTGTGGAACTGCCTGCTTTTGTGGTGGATGATGAACATGTGGTTCGTTGTTCAGAGGTTGAACTGGAGGTAGGTTAGGCCTTTCAATCCAAGCTTGTTGGGGGTGGAATTGGTACAACTCCTGCAAGTTAAGGAGGTGGATGAGGTTCATTCTAGATGGGTTCTTCTTGATTTAAAACAATTATTGCCCTCTGTCCAGCTTGATCTTCTACCATTTCAGGCATTTCAAAAGTTTGTTAAATGAAAGGATCTAGTTGGTATGGCCATTCCAGCCCTGGAGGAGCTCCATATGGTAGATCTAACTATTGCACAACAATATTTGGATTTTGATTTCATGCGTCGGCAACTGCACGATCCTTCTCGAATTGTCTGTTAACTTGCCATGCCATCATGGCCTTCATATCATTCAAAGAACTTCGAGTTTCTTGATTATAAGCCACTTTTCTGCTTATATGCTCTTGGATATGCCTAAACTGAAGGTTTGTGGCTTGAGCTCGCCTATTTCTTGCAGAAATGCTCTCTTGACCTGAACGCCTTGCGTCACTTTCACCTGAATCAACTCATTCTAGTTCTAGTTGGAATGATACTTTACCTAGCTCCATAGCTAATTGTGGATTTTGGCTTGTTCGTCCTATATTCATATATCAACAATAGAGGTCAAAAATATGTTTATCCAGAAGTCCCACCAGGCGTGCCAAATTGTTTACCCTTTTTATATTTGAGCTTGTTTGAAGGCTAAGTAAAAGTCCCCATTAATCTTTTAACCGTTTAATAGTTTATAGGTTAATTTTCTTTCATATGAGCATGCCACTGTTGGCAATTAATACCCCAACAGATTTGACTGATTTTATGTACTTGCGCCCCAAGTAATAGACTTTAAACAAACGATTGTGACTTTGGGTAGGGAAACCTCCCAAGAAAGTTCTTTTCTATGCCTCAAACTGGTGAGGACTTCACAATTTATCTAGATAAAACTGGTACGTAAAGCAAAATACACAAATTTATGAAAGATATATAAAATATAAAATAAAAAAACTAGTCGAAGTAGAGCTGCCTGAAGTACAAAGCATAAAATGAATTGTCAAGTCTGGATAGGCCTTATAATGTTAGGCTTTAACTTCTACTTAAAATGCAATCGCAGAAATGATTCAAGATTGGGCTGGACTAGATTTCTATTAACTGGACTGGATGTTTCTGCACTGGAAGTGCACTTCAGCACCTTCAACTAATAAAATTAACTGGAAATCGATACCAATATTGAAGTTGGCAGAGTTATAAACAAGTTGAGCCATAAAGAGGATGAAAAAATGAGCAAAACTGCATGTTAACACATGCTCTGGTTGATTCTGAATGATCTGGTAGCTTTCTAGACCATTTTAAGACATTAAGATATCTTTATAAATTTTGTTTAGGTTTACATATAATGAAAGGCCTGACTTCTGCTTAATCTATTTAATTTGCTGAACCAAATTTGTAAGAGAAATTAATCTCTCTTGAATTCTGTTTGATTTACCTTGGCTAGATTGCAAGAGAAATTTTGTTTTCTACTTGATTGTCTGATCTTTTCCTTGAGTTTGATTGCTTCCTTGGGAAGATTGCTTGCTTGCTTTTGGTAGTTTCAAGATCGTGTGTTCTTTGATAAGTTTGAGCTGATTGTTTAGATTGAGCTTTGTTTGATTGGTTCGTTGGTTGGGTGCCCTCTTTTCAGTCCAAACATTGTTGTATTTATAGGAGAAAATGTGATGGTGAATAGTCCTGAATATTTTATGATATGGGCTAACCCTCATCAATGCACAAGTGGTAAAAGATTGTCAGCCAGTTGCTTTGAATTTTTTTTTTTCTCTTTGTTCATCAATGCTCCTGAATGCTTCATGATCGTTTCTTTTGCAAAATACTGAACTGAAATGAACAATAATACCCAAATTCTTCCAATGTTGGTTCCATAAACATAAATATCCTTTGAGTAGTAGAAATCTGGCGATTTTGTAATAAACAACCGTGATTTTCAACTAAAGCAAGTCTGACTTCACTTCCTAGTTTTCATGGTTATCAAATTTATTTGGAGTCTAGTTACCAACAGTGAGGAGTCATTCTGACATACCTTTAAAAGCTAAGAAATTGTGAATTGGGTCTAAATTAATTCAAATAATTTGATTCATGGATTAAATCACCATTGCTAGTAATTTATATCTCAATTATCAAAATAACGTGAATTAATTATTCAATTTAATCCCCCTTTTGCTAAATAGTATGGGTCATTCACCATTTTTGGTAAGCAAAGCCCAATATCTTTTGGAAAGTGAACCCAATAGTCAATTTGGGCTGACACGTAGATTTTAGTCCCAAAAAAAATCATTTAGCGAATTTTGTTGACCTCCATGAACTGTTTTCAAATAAGATAATAATGAGAGACATTATGCATTCCATATTAGCTTATTTAATTTCACAAGAGAGAGTTAAGGCCTTCTCCAACCATGGGAGACAAAACCCAAAATTTGGGATTTGTAGCCCAAAAGCTTCTCCAACCCATGTATTTAGAGGGGGAGGGGAGGGGGGAATTTGGGTCGACTGAAAAATGGGGTGGTATTTGGCCCCAGATTCTAGTCCATGTAGAATTTTTGTGGGGCCCAATTCACAGCAAACAAGGGCCACGTGGGGCCTTATTCGATGCCAATGATGGGTTGTTGCCCACTACCTCAAGTTGATGGCAGCGTGTCAAAAGCCTAGGCAACTTAAAAATTGCACTTCAATGGCTGCATTTCAAATGGGCTGCTTCAATATATATATTTTTTCAAACCTAAAGGCTAGAAATCAAAGTTGATATTAAAATTTGGCTGGATCAACAGGGAAAAAAAAATCAACAGCTAAAATTTAAATCCGAAGATAAAAATAAGTATCTTAAACTCTATATCTTAAACTCTATAAATACCCATCAATTTGTTAATAAAATTATGCTTGTTGAAATTTCAAAGTTTTTATGCCAAAATGTTCTAAAAATCATAATATATCACGGTGTAAAAATATTACTATAAAATAAAAAAAAAAAAAAAAAAAAAAAAAAAAAAAAAAAACCAACCACCACACAAAAAAAAAGGATTATATCATTCTTTAACAATTTAATAAGGTTACAGACTCAAATTATAAATCTGCAAGATTAGAGGGAAAAAAAACAGTTTGAATCTTAAAAATACATGAATAATTCTATTTTAAAGGGTAAAATTTTAGGTTTGAGTCCTCTAGGGTTGGTGATGGCCTAAGAGCAACATTCTTTTTGGAACAATGGCTTGGTTACGTCGGTGGGTCGATAAATTGAATCGTGTCACGACCAGTGTGGCTCCAACTTCAGGTCTCATATTTTCTCCTCTTCACGGTTACTTTTTTTTTTTGGGTTTCAAGTCTGTTAACGGTTAATGTACTCGCTACCAAATGAGGACAAAGCCACAACATCATCACGCGCGCCATTGCGGTTGAGCCACTCACTCGTAGTCACGACTCACACCTCCTATCCTATATATATAAACCTTATTCCATCCAATCCAACAAATGCCCAATATTATTATAGATTATGTATAGATAAGAAGAGAAAGCAAAATACTTGCTCATCAGCTTCCTCCCTTTCACTCACCCCCTCCTCCTTCCTTCTTTCAATGGCTTTCTCACCCACAGCTTCACCATTCTCACACCTCCAATCTTCGTCCCTTCTTCCCATTTTCAGACTACAACACCCTCTTCTTCTCTCTCCTTCTTCTCCTTCTCCTTCTTCTTTCAATGCAAAACGCTTTGACAGCCGTCGCATCCGCATTCGTGTTACCGCTTCTGCAACTGCCACTATCGAGTCTGGAAATGGCGCTTTAGTTACTCAAGAAAATAACTTGGACTCCATTTCCTATGGAAGGCAGTACTTTCCTTTAGCTGCTGTTGTTGGCCAGGTAAAATCCCATCTCTCTTTCATTCGAAAAATGGTGCTTTGGCTTTTTGATTCTGTATTTTGCTGGTGAAATATGGCGTGGGTTTTTATGTTTTCTGGTTTTACTCAACTGGGTTTAGCTTTTGGAATTTTTGTTGTTGAAGGAATTCTGTTCTCGAAGTTTAAATTTTTCGTTGATTTGTGAGTGTGGTATGAGTTGGTGTGTCATTTGGGTAAATTGATGTTGGGATGGTTTTCTTATAGATTTGACCCACTTTTTTTGGTTGGAGGTGATATATTTGGCATACATTTTATCAAGACAAATTTTGGAGCTGAATTTTCTATGAATTGGATATTAATTCTTAAACTGCCATGTGATTTTTTGTTATTCAAATATCACTTATTTAGGGAGGTAAAATGTTGACAAATGCTAGCTATTGACATTTTTGATATCATGCTATTTTTGACTTCTTTAATATCTGTAACCAATGATGTATTGTTTTGGAGGCTCAGTGTCCTATCAAATTTGTAAGCTTATAAGAAAGATACGTTCTTGAGTATGAGGGTTTCACTGGATTGCTAAAAGGTTTAATGAAAGCTCTGACAACAAGTGAATACAAACGGTGCTTCCATAGCTTAGGACATTCACCAAAAACTAAATGGGATAGTTTGGGTGTTGTGCATTCATGTCGAATTGCAACTCTCTACATCTTTAGATTGGTTGATGTTAGATATTTTCATTATCCATTTGTTATTATTCTTTTTAGTATTAGATGGACTTAGTTGTGTGTCCAGATTTTCAGTATAAGGCTAGTTAGGCGTGCATGGAGAAATAATGTCATAGGTCTGGAGTCCTTTGAATTTCTAATTTATTTATTTTTGGTTCCATTTCAAGCCAGCTGGCTGGATACAAATTTTTTTTTCCAGGTTTTAATACATATTAAATCTAGGATAACTGCCAATTTCTACCGTTGGTTAATTAGTGAAATTTCCATATATGTGCATTATTTTGAATACTTGTTATTTTATAGGATGCTATTAAAACTGCTCTGTTGCTTGGGGCTATAGACCGCGAAATTGGAGGAATTGCTATCTCCGGAAAGCGTGGAACAGCCAAGACAGTAATGGCACGTGGATTGCATGCAATTTTGCCACCCATTGAAGTAGTCGTTGGTTCAATGGCAAATGCTGATCCAGCCTGTCCCGAAGAGTAAGGATAATGAATGCTTACAGGTTATTTTGCGATCAGCATAGATAGAGGGGGTAATTAGGGATGTACACTCTCAGTTGATGGCATGATTCACTTGCTTTTCTTCACTAAAGCAAAAATGAATTTTGGCTAATATAGTTTGTAACCTTTTTGGCACATGACAAGTTATGGAACTTTTTATTTTTATTCTTATGGAATGGTTTACTCAATTATGTGACTTAAGAAGGGACGCATCAATGGAACAGATTTACAGCTTGCTAAGATCACTTTAATCCATCTCTTGTCATAATGTCATCATAATGACCCATATATCAATTAAAAAAGAAAAAAGAACCATGCTTTTCTGCATAGATCCTATTTCAGTCAGAACCATGTGCAATTGATGGAAACAGTGGGGAGTGGCTGTTGGTTTGAAGCTTAAATATTTACTCATCTTTTAATGGCCTAGAAATTCTCATACAAGAAGTTTTGATCAGATGTTCTGTTTGCACTTTCTCCAGTTGATCTTGTGCACTAATCTCTTTCAATGATAATGGTTTGGTTGTAATTCTTAAAGGTGGGAAGATGTTTTACCTGACTGCATGGAGTATGATTCTGCTGGTAATATCAAGACTCAGATTGTCAGGTCTCCTTTTGTTCAGGTACTTGTCATTGAAAGATCTTTTCATATTCATATTATTTTCATGTAAACACGCTACTTTCACGTTGTAGATTCCACTTGGAGTCACAGAGGACAGACTCATTGGGTCTGTTGATGTCGAGGAGTCTGTGAAAACAGGAACCACTGTTTTCCAGCCAGGCCTTCTTGCTGAAGCTCATCGAGGTGTATTATACGTTGATGAAATTAATCTTTTGGATGAGGGTATTAGTAATTTGCTTCTTAACGTATTAACTGAAGGAGTTAATATTGTGGAAAGAGAGGGAATCAGCTTTAGGCATCCATGCAAGCCTCTCTTGATTGCTACTTACAATCCGGAAGAGGGTGCTGTTCGTGAGCACTTACTAGATCGTATTGCAATTAATTTGAGGTGCAGATGCTTGTATTTACCTAATGGAACAAGTTATCTAATTTTTAAGCCTTCTCATTCTATTCTACTAATGGTGCACCCTTCTTTTGCAGTGCAGATCTTGAAATGAGTTTTGATGACCGTGTTGCAGCTGTGGGTATTGCAACAGAATTTCAGGAACATAGTTCTGAAGTCTTTAAAATGGTTCGAGAAGAAACAGAATATGTAAAAACTCAGGTACACAGGCAGGAAAAAAAATTAGTAGTTTGTTTGCACGCTAGATTGTTATTATCATGATGGAGGGGCTGGAGAGGGAGAATCTTGAGTATTTTATTTATTAGAAAAAAGAAGGATCTAATGCATTTTATTTATAAAGAAAGAATGGTCTGTGCATCTTTCTTTTAATGTTGGTCTTTAGATCTTGTTGATATATTGTTTCCGTGTCATTATTAGTCCTCATATTATATTTTTTTAGATTGTAAGAGATATTTCTAGTATTAAATTCAGTACCACACAGATGGTGGTAGGTGACAGAAAATTAATGTATAGTATTATGTACTAAATATACAAGAAAAAGAAGAAGAACAGTATACTATCCTTTCCTTATTTACAGATTTGTTTGCCTTGCCCACATGCCTATTCATTCCTATTTGGTTGGATTCCTCGGTTCATTTACGCCTTTGATGGAATAACCTGTTTTTCTAGCTATTAGTTTCTAAAGATTAAGACAATTAACTCTTCTTTTTAAAGATTGTCTTTTCGAACAGTCTTCCGTTTAAGGGTATAATATTGGTATAGAATGTGATTCTTGTTTCTTTTATTATTATTATTATTATTATTATTATATATGAAATCCTGCGTTTTCCTTAGTACTAAGTTTTCTTAAAGATAGGGCTGCACTTTTTAAAAGGCTCCAGACAAGTCTGCTATGAATGAGTATCCTTAAGGATGATATGAAACAAAGAGTCAAAAAACTATGCTTGATGAAACTAGAGTACCAACTTCACTCTTAAAATATCTTGAAAGATTATTGATATAGTCACACAGAAGCATCTGTACCCATAACTTGTGGGCAATAGATGAAATTTTTTTGATTCGTTTCCATAAAATTTACATGTTGCAGATCATTTTGGCAAGAGAGTATCTAAAGGATGTCGTTATAAGCAGAGAACAATTAAAGTACCTGGTTTTGGAAGCTCTTCGAGGTGGTTGCCAGGTTTATACTGTGAAACTCATTATTAAGATACAACAGGTTTTGCATGAGTTCTTCTTTCCTTTTGGTTACAATATTAGGTGAAGCCATGGATTGTTCTACCATTGCATTGCAACCTAGCTTGAGCTGCCATATGAATTGAAGACTAAATGCTTTCCCTCCCTCTCATTGCTTCCCTGGAACCTAAACTACCTGGGACCACATTAACCTTTAGCATTGGCTATGCATTAGTGAAGCGTGACTCAATCCACATGGTATTTGCTAAATCTGAGTGATGATGCATTATGTACCACCTGCAAGACGCCTCTCTTCATCCACAAAAATATGGTTGAAACCCATTACCAGAGTTCGGACAATTTCTATTTGACCCAAGTGCTAATATATAGAAAAGTACATTTATGCAAATGCCCTCCGTTCCCTCTTCAGAGCTTTTGAAATATAGATCAGGATCATCAGACTTTTATAAGATAAGAGTTTTCATACGAATTTTAATTTCTTTACCTACTGTTGCATAATCTCCTGACTTTTATTTTGGCATGCTGTCTTCAGTAGTTGAATGCAGCCCAAAACAGAAAGAATGCTATAGTTTTTATGCAGGGGGGTTTGCCATGGGCGTTAAATGCCAGTTTGAAAGGAGTAAAATGGATGGTTAAGTGGAATTTTCTGTTTCACATATTCTATAATTGGGCTCAGTTAACTTCAATCACCAAATTAATGTGCCTTTTTCAAGCAAACAGTTTTTGAAGGTCCTTATCAATGTCGTATATGTGCCCATATTTAGCATTCAAGAACACTTGTCAGGCCCAGGATTGGATGGGGGCGAACTTAAAATATTGCTGATCATTGTTGCAGTGATAAAAATTTAAAATACTAGGGCAACATGTGAGATCTGTAACGCTTACGAGTAAAATGTAATTTTATGTTTATAATTTATTTTGCCCAAACATAATGTAAATAAAACATGTGAGATCTGTGACAGTCGAGGGTAAATTGAAAAGCCAATGCTTATTTTTACAACTTAGAAAACACAAGGGAAATAGAGCTTGGTTTCCATGATTTTTATTGCCCCAACCGACTGTGGTGGTCATGACTCATGCCAAGTCAGATAAACAATCTCTTGAAAACAGGTGTAGCAGCTTACATCTTTCCATACCCTGACCTCATATTGGCAAGATCCTAGGGGACCATCCTTTTTATTTTACCTGCTCTAATTCAGCATATCATCAATACTGATGTGGAGTCAAGGAAATTTCTATTCATATATCTTAACTTGACCATCTCTTAACATTTGTCCTTTTCTTATGCTTCTGATTTTAACATGTTACTTGTTTGCTGTAACTGGACCAGAAATTAACCTTCAAAGTTTCATTGGGAATATCAGGGGCATAGAGCTGAGCTATATTCTGCTCGTGTTGCAAAATCCTTAGCTGCTCTAGAAGGACGAGAAAAAGTTAATGTTGACGACCTGAAAAAAGCTGTTAAGTATACTTCTTTCTGTCTTATCAAAAAATAATAAAAATGTTGTTCAGTGTACTTCTGAAAGGTTATGTACATTTCTTCTGCATAGGAAGCAAATGCGCCAGTTTATGTAACTCAATTTGTTTTATCTTTAGAAAAGAAAATGAGGCATATACTTATCTGTAAAAGCCTTCATTTGGCAAGCAGAGGGCCTAAGGCATCTAGTTTATGTAACTCAATTTGTTCATCATATTTCATGAATTAGCAGCTCACTTGAGTAATGAAATAACTTTTGCACTTTGCATTTTAATAGTTTTGTCTATCAGCATTCACATCATTACTTTTTCAATTGGCGAGCATATACAACAAATTTTCATTATGAGAGTACCTACTGCAGGTAGAACTGGTCATTCTTCCTCGTTCAATCATCACTGAGAACCCACCAGAACAGCAAAATCAACAGCCTCCACCTCCACCACCTCCTCCACAAAATGAAGAATCCGGGGAAGAGCAAAATGAGGAGGAAGAACAAGAGGTTTGTTAACATTGAATAAAGTTTAAATTTCACGTACAGATCAGTGCAGAGGGCTTCTTTTGTTTCTAAGTGACTATCGCTATAAATCAAGTAATAATTGTGGTGTTTTTCAATTCAGTTTTTGGCTTTAATATTTTTCTACAAGATTTAACAAGGAAACACAGGTTTAATTTTTATGCAAACTTCCTTATGTAACCAGGATGAAAATGATGAAGAAAATGATGAAGAGAATGAACAAGAGCCTCAAATTCCCGAAGAGTTTGTCTTTGATGCAGAAGGGGGTTTGGTGGATGAGAAGCTTCTTTTTTTTGCACAACAAGCACAGAGACGCAGAGGGAAGGCTGGGAGAGCAAAGAATGTTATATTTTCAGAAGATAGAGGTCGATATATTAAGCCAATGCTTCCAAAGGTTACTACTCCCATCTTAGAGTTTCAGAAATTTTAGAAATGTTTGCTTTGAAAAATTTTATTGACTGTGTTCGTCTTTTCTGAACAAGCTTTGTCTTTAACAGGGCCCTATAAGGAGATTAGCGGTTGATGCGACCCTTAGAGCTGCTGCACCGTATCAAAAGTTGCGTAGGGAAAAGAACACTCAAAGTGGTAGGAAAGTGTTTGTGGAAAAAACTGATATGAGAGCGAAGAGAATGGCACGAAAAGCAGGAGCACTGGTATATTGACACCATACTTTAATTACTTGCACTCATCCTTGCGCTTTTAGTATATGTATATAATATATGCATATACATATATTTACTTGTGTGCCTGGATGTGATGAATGGCTTATGATGGAAGGTGCTCCCAATATTTTTCGTATAAGATTTTTTGAGCCTCAGTTTTGGCATAGGTTGCCATACTGCATGAAATCCATAAAATTTGATAATCAGCTGTGGAGAAACTTTGACCAAATAGTTTACCCTTTTTAATGTCATCTTAAATTATTCGAGTATTGTTGGTCAAAAAGTTCCTCATGCAAATGCTTAGCATAGTGAAACACTTTTCATTTTACTTCATGGCAGGTTATATTTGTTGTTGATGCAAGTGGAAGCATGGCATTGAATAGAATGCAGAATGCAAAAGGTGCAGCACTCAAGTTACTCGCAGAAAGTTATACAAGCAGAGATCAGGTGACAAAAACTTTCGTACTTAATTTAAAAGTTGCGACTACCATAAGTTTAGTCTGAAGGAGATTTCTTCTGACTTTTTTCTTGCTGAAAAAACAAACAAAAAAAAAAAAAAAAAAAAAAAAAAAGAGAGAAAAGCAGAGTTTGTACCAGTGCAGAACGTTTATAGGGCTGGCTATTAACTGGGACTCAATTTGATGACATAATAACAGTAGGATATAGAATCCAGCCATTTTCTGGAGATTGCACTTTCCACTTGCTTCATACATGTGATGAATCAGATGTTTCCCCGAATTTCTGTAAGAATTTGATTTAGGTATTCTATGTGTGCTTCTGATCAGAAAACCATGAAAGCAAACATAATAAGATATTTGTTTCTATGTCTATCCCGATAATTACCTTGTAATGTGTTAACTGGTAATATCCTTTAGGTTTCTATCATTCCTTTCCGTGGAGATTCTGCAGAAGTTCTTCTGCCTCCTTCTAGATCAATTTCAATGGCAAGAAGACGTCTTGAGAGACTTCCATGTGGTGGAGGTTCTCCCCTTGCCCATGGTCTGACCACGGTATGTAAATTCCCTTTCAAGTACTAGCATCTCCACCCCTACGTAACTGACTATATTCTGAAATTTAAACTGCTTAGGCTGTTAGGGTTGGACTAAATGCAGAGAAGAGTGGTGATGTTGGACGTATCATGATTGTTGCAATAACAGATGGTAGAGCCAATATATCACTAAAAAGATCCACTGACCCTGAAGCTGCTGCTGCTAATGATGCTCCAAGACCGTCGTTGCAGGAGTTGAAGGTAAATCCTGAGCGCTTTGGTTGGCATATTAATTGTAGCAAGCCTGGACCCCACAGCCCACGGCCTTAATGAGATGATGGTCTATGCCAAGCCTCATTGTCAGAATTGAGCAACCTGATCTGAGATTGCATGAGACTTTTCCCAAAAATTATATTAATAATTTAATATCTGAACGAAAGGGTAATACACAAATTGCTTTTGAATTATCAGATATCATCTTTCTAATGATAAACACAAGACCCATATATTTTCCGGACACTCAAAACATAAGGTGCTAGTGTAGTTGCGCATTTCTACCCTCAGTTTTTTCTCTATTGCATTCACTTGTGGTAATTCTATTGGTGCTTCTTAATGAAGGATGAGATTCTTGAGGTTGCTGGTAAAATCTACAAATCAGGGATGTCCCTCCTTGTCATCGACACTGAAAATAAGTTCGTTTCAACTGGTTTTGCTAAGGAGATTGCCAGAGTGGCTCAAGGTTCTGTCCAACTTATTATATCACCTATTGTTCTTCATCTCTGAAGACTGCAACATAATCTCATTATAAGATTTTCTCTGCAGGAAAATATTATTACTTGCCAAATGCGTCAGATGCTGTAATCTCAGCTGCAACAAAGGACGCTTTATCAGCCCTGAAAAGCACATGAAGCATCAGAAATTGTTGTTTTACGTTGTTCCATTTCGGCTAGTTTGGCCATAAAAGCAGCTAGTTCCTATAAAAATATATTTTCTTCTATTGGAACAGAACAAGAGGGACATGAGGGGACGCACAATTTGGGGACAGCATATCTCAACCCTAAAAAATATGCAACTTTGTTCATTCTTCTTCTATTTCCGGCGTTTCTCTCTCTCCTCCATTCCTATCTCTGTCACTCCATCACCCATACACCATGTATTGATTTCTCTCTCTTTTTTTCTAATTTATTCAAAATAAAGATGGAAAAGGATAATACTTTGTCATAATGGAATGATTCAATGAGGAGATATTTCTCAGATCTGGAGGGGGGAGACGCTGGAAAATTTTTCTCCCCGACACCGAACCTTCACTATTCCTAGCAGAACCGAAGCTGAGCCAATCACTCTTTGTTACACCAATTCCAAACTTTTCAAAATTCCCCGATAAATAACTCAATTAAATTTGAAATTAAAAGGAAAGATAGGAGTTGAGAGTGACGCCGGAGAAATTTTTTCTCCCCAAAATTGTACCTTCACTGTTCCTTACAGAATTGAAGCCAACCTAGTCTTTCTCATCTCCACCATTTCCAAATTCTTACAACTCCCCAACAAAGAACCCAATGTCATAAAACTAGAGGGAAATTGTAGAGAGAAAAGAGAAAAGAAAGGCAACAGAATTTGCTCTATCAACTAGTTTATTCATATTTTATTAGTGCTTATATATAGGCTTACAATAGAGGTATTTAACCCACAATTTATAGCTACTAATTACAATAATAAGGGCATAGGTTACTGTTGAGGCCCAAAAAAGTCACGGGAAGCCCAAAGACATTTAAAGCCCAATATAACATATACTGTTGGTCATGCGTTAATCCAAGCTGTAGTTTGGGATTTAATTCATTAAATAAATATAGAAATAGCGTACATGCCATGCCAAACTAATAATACATTTTCCCCATACCGATCACCTATCAAGCTCACATGAACCCAAGTCATGTGGTTTACGGGGCTTGCATGAGGGATTGTGGTGTGGAAGGTTACGTAGGTCCACAAGGCCCATGGAAGCTCTCGAATAATGGAGACTTTGGGCTAGCTACTTGGGAGCACCAAAGTCCAAGCCCATTACTTAGAGTTCTCCAATGTGTGTAAGTAAATGAGATATTTTTAAAGCACTTTCTTTTACCCATAGGAAATAGTCATTTTCCAAATTTCTAGCTTTACCCGTTGGAAACAAGCCTTTTCCAGCACTTCCTATTACCCACTGGAAACAAGCAGTTTCCAATGCTTTCCTTTTACCCATAGGAAATAATTAGTTTATGGTACCTAGATTTACATGCTGGAAAATAGTATGCCCCAGTGCTCCCTTTTAACCATTGGAAATAGGCTGGTTCCAGCACCTCCCTTTACCTATTGGAAATAAAGGAAAACCCTCACTCTCTATAAATTGGCATTCATGGCTCAAGCAAAGGGCACCAATTTTTCTTCAGCCAATACTCCTCACTCGGCTGCTACAAGCATCCTAGCAGCCATCAACCCCTCTTGGTTGCTGCAAGCTTCTCAGCAACCATGAGAACTCACCTTTCCTTAGCTGTTGCAAGTATTCCAGTAGCCTTCACAGTCATTCCTCAGCCATCACAACCATGTCTTTTACTTTCGCACCCTTGAAATCCATCATCTTCTCCATAAAGCCTCACCAAGCATAACTCCAAGCTTTTCATTCCTTCCAAGCTTTAAACACCATAGCCTTCAAACCTCAAGCTTTTCCTTCCATACTCCTCTTAAAACTCTTAAATCCCCATAGCTATAGCCACACACAACAAATTATCAACACTAAACTCAAATATATCCAACACCAAGCCAAGCACATGCATTCTCATTTGCTAAACTTGTGGGTCTTTAGCTCCCACACTCCAAGCTCTCATGCCAAGCCTATATAATCTCATATCAATATCAACAAGTCATCTTCAACTCTTCGTCGAGCTACCAGAAACATCAACACAAAACACGCAACCATTGGATGAAGAACAAAGTACTCCCCCGGGACTTGCTTCTCCCTCGGGATACTTTGGGCCTAATTCTCGCTAACTCAGACAAAGGGGCAGCGAAGTCTTCATTCATTACTCTATGGCGATCCAAGAATCAACAAAAACCCATATGAGCCTTCGGATGAAAAAGACCCCAACATAAATGGCTACTATGCTGGGGACTAGGCTATTACTCTTACATTGGCTTCTCTACACAAGTTTTAAGTCACATCGATGCAATATACCAAAGATAAGAGTGTTTTCTCCTTTGTTTCATTTTTCTTAGCCATCTGCTTTATAGAACAACCCAAAAATAAAAATAAAAAAATGCTGATAACATTATCTATTTCACTGTTTCTTATATCTATGTTCTCAAGCTAAATGAAATCTTGTGAAAGGACCCCTGGGGTTGAGGCAAATCAAGCATTCGTGCCACTGAGGTACTGGAGACACCAAAGCAAACTCCACAACCGTCCTCAAATCCAAATGACTTGGGGGCTTCATGCCAAAAAAATTTAATGCAAAATCAAAGAAAAAGTTTTCAAACTTGAGAGAAATAGAGCACACGAAGAAAAGAAAAGAAATAAAACTTGAGCAGAAGAAGGTTAAGCTCAACATCCATTCACATACTGGAGGCTTCAGCCAACATGCTAGCCACTGACCACCGTCGTCAACTATTAAGGCTAGCCCTACCACTCACCTCTCCACCATGAAATATCATCAGCAAATCTGGCCATCGCCGTAAATCACCTTCATAATAGCCCTCACCTCTCTAAGAGTTGTGTAAATACGATGAGAAAGTTAGAAGGAACACTTGCTCAATGCTCTTAGCCTCATCTCTGCGAATGGCTTCACCAAGATAAGATTTTTTGTCTCATTAATCTCAATATAGCATATATAATTGTTTATTGTTTTAATATATTCATAAAATTCTTGTTTCATTGAATTGTCTTAAGCATAGACAAAAGCACGTGGGTTGGTCTGCCCAAGTCAAAAGGATTGATTGATTAGTTATTATTATAGTCTGATGCATTATATGGTGCACCAGCTTGCATAATTTTCTTATTATTTCCACTACCATTATTTTACTTGTCACTTCCATTATTATATTGTATCATTATCTTGTTTAGTGTGTGAGTCAAATAGTCACATCACTTTATTACTCTATCTATGCATCATACCATCTGATGTCTGCCTAAAGGCTGCCATTCTAATAAAGCATGACTATATTTTATATGCCAAAGCTATCATCCCAAGGCATCATCACATTTATGAGAGTTGCTATTATAGTGTTGATATATAATACTAAAATATTAAAAGTTGTCACCCAATTTTTCATAAATCTTGTAGCCCAACACACAGCATCATTAACCAGACTCAATTTGTGAGAATGATGTCCATATGCAACATCTTCTCTGGCCAACAGAGGAAACAAAGCCAGCTCTAGAACAACATAGCTATATCAGGCACAAAGTTGAATATACTTTTCGAGCCGAAATTGAATTAGGCCTTTCTAGTGTACAGATCTCCAGGTATAAACCTCTTCTCTCCGATGTTGCACTATGCTCAGCTTATTCACATGTCTACAATTGCGAATCAAGAAAGGCTTCTGCCATCATCATTTGCCCATTTGGAGACACACCCATATGAAAGAAAGAAAAAAAAACCCCCTACATAAATTGGCGATTCTTTTTTGAGTATATGAAATCAAATTTGTGCTGCCCTGATGCTGGAAGATTGTGTAGGGATTCATGCTAGTTAAGCTTTGATGAGAATCATGTGCTGGAATAGACTAAAGCACAAGAGCTAGAGGGCTCTGGAGACTTTGGCAAATCCATTATTCATGTCATTGAGCAAACTACACATGCAAACCCCAAAATACTTGGGGGCTTCGTGCCAAACGAATTTTTTCAAAACAAAGAAGAAGCCAACCACAAGCCAAGCATCTTATACGGAGAGGCCATCTTCTCTGGCCAATAGAGGAGACTTGACTATCTCTAGAACAATAGCCATATCTTGCATAAAACTACGCATGTGCTTCAACTCAAAATTGAACAAGTCCTCTTCGGAACACTGCTTGCATTGCCTCCATCTTTGGCATTGCCCACAGGATGCCCTGACTTTCTATGCCAATGTCGATTCCGCAATCCACATGCTCTCTATTGGAGGCCAAAGATAAGAAAATCTTTTTTTTTTCCTTTCCTACCTTTTTAGATTTCACAATAAAATATATATTATCATGCCATATGCCATACTTGTAAAAGCAGCACGAGCATGTCATCTATTCAAATATAAACATATACTGATAAATTTTCTTTCTTTTATATATATATATTCAGTTTCCTTTATTTCTTGTCTTTCACTTTGAAAGGAATACAAACACTAGGCATTTACACACTACCAAAAGCATGAGTATCATCACATGCTTTAATAATTGCCAAAGCATCACATGCTTGCATATTACTGAAAGCTACCTATGTTGGTTTTAATATTGATGTATGATTTAGTTAATGATGTTGGATGGCATCCATTTAAAATCTACAAATATTAATTATATTCATTTGCAAGCTGCAATACATGTATTATTTTAACCACCATCTGCTTTGGTCATGCAGAAATTATATATCTATTAAGCACTCTATTCTTCCCAAGACGATGAGTACATTCCTCTACGCCTTAAGCCTGAAGGAGCATGGGACCTTATGTTCCTGTACCCATCAACATCTCAACATGCTCAATGACGCCAAGCCAGGCCAATGATAAAATTGTACGTAGAGATGTAGAGATCCAATACTTAATTTAGCCATGCCTTGATGTTGCTCATGCTATGCTCTAATAAACAAAATCAGGTGCCGTAGGAGGTGATCTCAAGAGAAATCATGCCAAGGAGAAACAATCCATCCCCAAAACCATGCAACTCAAGCATTTCACTTGATGCAATCATTTCA